AGTGTCCCCTAACACCAGCCCCCGTGAAAATTTCATCTAGTCTAAGATGGGACGATCAAACATGGCGGGAATACGATGAACCGACAAAAATAGGATACCGCCAAGCAGCTCCTTGATCTATGTACTGCCCTCTTTGGGTCGACAAACCCCGCAATTCAAGGAAAAACAAAACGTGACATAAACAATGGGTAGTCTTTCTGTGTGTTTATTTATTTTTTCCGAATAAACAAAGGCAATTACACCAGCACCTTCGGAGACAAGGTTTGGGAATAGAATGTTGCTTTCAGCAGTCATCAAGTCACTCAACCATACAACACGCTACAACACACCAACAACACTTGTCACTCGACCGTACAACACACCACACAACAGATACCATTCACGCATGTCTCTCGCCGATCCCTTGAAGTGAACGCACAGCACGTTCCACAAGCGAAGAAAAAAAAATTAAGCTCGCGCCGCGCGCATCGAGCGACAAACGGGCAGAACTCCGCGATACACAGCAGACAAAGGACACCAGATCCGCAGGCGTTTTACTGCCAAGGTCGTCCACGAGCTTACGGTTCAAAAGTCGTACAAGCAACGAAGACTTGGCACGCGTTGAAAACGCTACCGTCGGTCCACAGGGGTGCCCGGTAGTTGGCTCATGAGGAGTACGTCGCCCCAACTGCTGCCGCTACCGGAAGCGGCGCCGCCGGCCCCGTCGTCGTCGGCTTGACGCCGCCGCTTCAAACTTGAGCCAGGCGTTTCGCCGCTGAACCCTGTCCACCTGTGGGGCGAAAACGGTGGGGACGTGGACAAGGTTGCGGCGCGAAGAGGGAGACAGGAGTGAGGTACCTCCCTGCAACCTCATGTATATCGTCCCAAACACAAGAAATGACATGTGGAGAGAACACGTGAGGCGGCAGCAACTTAGCTGCAAGGCGATGCACGCGGGAATGGGAGGGAGGCAGGGCGGGCGCGGGGGGGGGGGGGCTTTGCAATAGAAATTTCTTAAGGCAGTGGCCAGCAACGTGGTACGTGAGGGCGGGAGGAAGATCGATGCCCCGATCACGCTGAAGACGACAAAACAAAACCCCAACAATAGCATGTCAAAGAGCCGCCACGTTACCCACCATCCCCATAGACCACAACGCAAACGAAAAACACACACAATGCAGGCACCGAAACAGCCCTGGGTCCTTGCTGCCCCAAGCATCAATACACCCCAAAGCTTCCCTCGACGTATATACTTCGCGCGCGATCACAAGACCAAGCGCGACCCACCTTCCACCTTCCCCGTCCGGTCCCACAGAAGAAGAAGCCGCTCTTCCATCTCCACCGCCACGGGATCTCGAAACCCCATCGGGCCCCTCGAATCGCCTCTCCCTTTCGCCGCTGCCGCCGCCGCCGCCGGACTCCTCTCGCTCCGGCCGCCGCCGCCGCCGCTGCGTACCGCCGCTAATAGCCTCTGCAACAACAACGCCGCGGGCAGGAGTGGAAAGCCCTCCCCTCTCTCCGCCTCCTCGGGGTCCGTCCACCGCTGAACCCGTCGTTGCGACCTCGTCTCCACCCCGCCGCCACTGCTGCGAGCCGCCCTCTCGCACTGTGTCCTCCCGCGAATGCTGGGGGTGGCCGCGCTCGGGGAGTCCGCGAAGAGGTGCCGCCGCGCTGCCGTCGCTGGAGATGGTGCTGTTGCTTCCACGAGAACCGCCGACGCCGTCGTCCGGCCCTCCCCCGCCCGACCACCTGTCTCGCCTGACGACCGTTGCCTCTGTCGACGGGGACGGTTGCAACGAATGCCCGCCGCTGCTGGCGGGGCCGCCGCCGTCGCGGGGGTCCTCCTGGCTGCTGCCACCACGCTGGGATTGGCTCCTGCTGCCCCCCGAGAAACGTTCCGAGCCACCGGGACCCCTTCGAGTAACGACGGGGGGCGGCGGAGGACTCCTGCGGGTGGAGATGGTTGCGAGAAAAAAAATACCAGTTGTTTGGGGGAGGGTGGGGGATATCGATGGCTCAACGCTTCTTTGGTGGTGCGCGTTCCTTCATGCTTTGCCTGCGTGGGAAACACGCGCGATGTCCCAAGGTCTAACCAGTTGCACCATGGCGACCAGGTATTCGGCCATCGTAAACAAAGTGCAGTGGTGATACCCGTCGGGTGTGGTGCGCCTGATCACCTGAGGTCAGCGTGTCCCGCACACAACCAAACAACACCGTGTCTACGTACGTACGCCGATTGGCACTCATGGCGAGCATAGTGGTACCCAGGGCAACCGCGCTTTGATACCCCTCACCTGAGTTTGAGCCGATCCAGGATAAGGCCCTGCTGAAGCTCGAACTCTGACACAAGGCAGGAGAGCAGAGCAGCGGAAGCAGGGGGCGAAGACAGAACAAAGAGGAGCTCAAAAACAGCGGAGGGTGTCACAACAGCGCGAAGGGGTCGCTAATAAAGAAGAGGTCAGATATGAAGTGCGGTGGGGGTGGCCTTCGACACAAACCCACAAGAGGCTTAACCATGGGAGTACAAGCAGCACCAGCCTTTTTCCTACTGCATTTACGTACGAGACGTGTGGCGGTGATGTAAAAAATGCAGCAAGCAATCTTCGACAAGAGCAAAGAGCACATCTTCCACCCTCGGTAGAGGAGCGTGCGGTGACACGCGGTAGAGCACATCTTCGGTGTACGCTGGAGTCATTGGCTGTCGATGAGCAAAGCTACCCTCCAAACACACACAACGTTTACAAGCAGGTAAGGTAGAGAGCAGCATCCGGAAAAATCAAGCGGCATCATCTCATCCTGTCACAAGCCGCTTGTGAACCTACGTTTTAATGCGTCAGCCATCCAAGCTCACCTTCGTCGGGATTCGGGGGAAAGTCGCTGTGGAGGACGGAGTCCACGCCTAGCTGGGCCGTCGAGTGCAAGGACGTTTCCACGCAGATCACGGACACTACGGCATCCTGCGAAGATTCAGCCAAAGACGCGCCCGCACGCACGCGAGAGACAGAGACAGAGACAGACAGATGGACAGACAGACAGAGAGAGAGAGAGAAAGAGAGAGAGAGAGAGAGAGAGAGAGAGAGGAAAGCGGGTGCACTCGTGAGCATTGTCCGGGTTGGCATGCGCACCATAACCGTGCCCTGGCATCCGTGCTACCGCTGCTGCTTCAGGCGAGGACTAGCGCACCGTGGCCTTCGGCAGACATGGCCATATGCCTGGCCACCCCTACTTTTCGTTCCACCTAAGATCTTGGAGAGGTCCGCCACCAGCAGTATTAAATTCGACCAAAGCTCGGTCTTTGCCAGAAAGTACACACCCAACAACAAACAAGGATCAACCACGGACCATTTTTCTGCCCAAGAAATGCGCGCCCACCTAGAGTATCGACAATGAGCCACAAAAGTGTGAGATTCGACAAATCGCTGTTCAACTACCCTCCGTTATAGTCAGGGCTGGAGGAAATGTTCACGCACCCCGCCCCCAAAGCAAACATACATGCAGCTACAAAACCCAACCCCTTCTACACACCTGAAGGGTGACCTCGGTTCTGCACATGAGCCGCGCGTGTGCCTGGGCCAGGCGGATGAGAGACTCCAGCAGTCGCACGGTCGTCCTCGCCGCCGATCGGTTGTCGGCGCTCCGCTGGCTCTGATAGTACTTCCCCACAACCTCCTGCGCGACAGCGACGTACACGGCACGTGCAGGACGGAAGGAACAACCATGCCACCGGCGAAGCGAGGTCTTTACGGTACGGTAGTGGTCCCTGTCTAAGGTCGTATGGTGACAAGGGATTTGGCGGGTGGCCTTGCATCGGGGACCCGGCAACATTCAGAGTATGAGACACAACTTGCAATACGTCGCCTGTGTAACGCGATTTCACCGGCCTTAAGCATGGCGACCGGTTTCTGGAGGGACACCACTACTACTGCTGTACAAACCTTTTTCTGCTGAATTGTTGGGTTGTCAAAACTTGGCAAAATATTGGGCAATGTAGCCCTGTTAT